TGATGTTATTAACGCTTCCTTTTACTGTTTTTTAGAGTTAAGAGCTAGAACACTGTTCCTTACAAATAATGTCGCGAGCCCCTTCTGTTGGCATAAATCTTTGTGCCCCTCCCCCGGCTGATTTGCTGCTGTGCACCTGAGAGGCTCCCCAGCCGTTTGGCGGTGAATCCTTATTACCACCGGGAGCGAAGCGCAGGGCCAAACTCAGCAAGGCCGGGAGTGGGAGGAGGGGAGGCACCGACCACGGATTTGAAATGTACGCATTTTTCTTTTAAAACGTATTTGCTGACGGGAAGCCTGCACTGATAAACGAGGAACAGAGATGCTCAACGAAGGCTACCGTTAGGGGAGGGGAGCCCCAGTGGGGCATGGGAAGTGCTCCTGGTCCCGCGGGGAAGGGGGCGGCGTTCCTGCATCAGCGCACACACGGAGGACTTGTTCAGAACCGACCTCCAAAATGGGGGTGACCCGAGGCGCTGGCAGAACTCCTACGTTTACTTTCTTCTGCTGCAAGGGGTGAAGACACAGGGTGAGCTAGAGTGTCACACGCGAGTCGGTCGCACGGAGGTGTGCGCGTGGGGCCAGGAGCTGGGACCACTGCCGGGGGACAAGGGGCCACGCAGGCTATGACCGGGGAGTCCAAACGGCTCAGCTAGCACGGCTGGCTTCATAGGGGCTGTAAGCAAAGGTGCACCCCAATCACAGATGGGACTGACAGGCATGGCACATACAGTTTAACCACCAACTCCCAGGACGTGACGAGGCCGATTACTAAACTGCCGCTCTATGCAAAGAGGCGTCACAGCAAAGAGGCGTCACAGCAAAGAGGCTGTGAGACAAAAGAGACTGAAAAGAAACAGCCAAGCTCACTGCTGCACACGTCTGGGGGTGAAAAGCAGCACTCCGGGGTGCAGGGAGGACCCACTCTGCACGACAGGGGCAGAGGACAGCGGAACCAGGCTTTCTGGCACGCAGGTGACGGCGTTTTCCAAGTCGCCACGACTCCCACAAAACAGAGCTGCCAACGCCGCAGGCCTTGCGAACGTCATCGCAAGAGAAGCCGTACGCATGCGCCGGCTGCCCCGGTCACTCACACAGCAGCTCGACTGCCCACTCCGCCTTCTTCATGGCATGGCGCGTGGGTCCCACAAGGGTCTATGAACACACGCATGTCGTGAGCCCGCCACGCGAGGTCCCTCCCACGAAACAGAAACAAGTGAGCAAGTTCTCTGGAGCAGAGAGCAAACCTTCAGCCGTGGCGTCTTTTTTCCTGATCGTTTATTCTCAGTGCAAGGTGGGAAGGAATAAAGTTAAACCTAATTACTAACAATTGGGAGTACCGTTGGGGTCTTCGTTAATGTGCATGAAATTCCTACGCCAGGAAACATAGCAGATGGCGAGTTCCCGCCGCTAAGAAAACAGTTCAGCAACGCTGTTTTGTTTTCAAAAGAGAAAATCCACGTACCGTTTTCTGAAATGACCGTTTCCCCCCGACGCCTCTGGTGCGCCTCTGTCCCAGATCACGTGTCCGGACGTGGGCACCGTGGCCTCGCGCTGCGCCCACACCACTGAGGCTCAGCTCCTAGAACCTTCGACAAGACTGACGATCTGTTAGTCAGCCCTTCACCTTGCTCCGCTCCAGTCTTCACTATGCCTGGCCTTTTACATGCCCCACATCGACCTGGGGAGAATGGGAGTCTTTCCAATACTGAATCCTCCCGTTCGTGAACACGGAATATTTCCGATGACTCAAGTTTTCCTTAGATGTCTTTCAATCAAGTTTTACAGTTTTCTCCTAAAAATGTGTTACACATCTTTTTAAAGATGT